CTTTTCAAATTCCATATACTCTTTCCTGTTTGTCCCATGAGGCTTCGAGGAGAAGCAAAAATCAGCTCCCAATTCACTTGCACAGACATCTGAAAATTTTTCTGGGATCAGATTGGGGCATCTCAAAGTTTCACAAAGCCCCATCCTCGGCCAATGCACGCTGTTGGGAAAATTATTCTTGATGGATTATTTGGCTGGAAAGCTTAATAGCAAAGATTGAAAATCAATTTTCTTTCTTCTCCAGAGTTTCAGACTCTAAGTTTGCAATTTTCACTTTACAAAGAGCAAACGGGGGTTGAAGAGATTTATCTAAGACAGGAAATAGTAAATCTATATGAGAATCATCAACATTGTAAAGGAAGGGACAAGGCCCATGTGGATTTTCAGTAAAGTGTCAGGTGCACTTACAGCTTCACAACTACTGATGATCTGATGGTATCTTGTGATTTCTAGGACCTGCCATTCATCCCCAGGCCAACTACCAGTAGCAAAGAGTGTATCCATTTAACCAGTCAAAGCCATTCTCAAGATAGAAGAAAAATGACCATAGTTCAGATATCTTTAATAATAATAATAATAATAATAATAGTTATGGGAGTCTGAAGCCCTTGGACATCCCACTTACTCTGTTCATAAACATCAGCATATTATTGGAGCTGACTTTCCCTCAGGACCCTCCAAATAGTGCCATCCTCACAACTTATTTTACACATATTTTATACATTAAATAAATATCTTAAGACATTGAAAATGAGTTATTGTACAGGAGAAAGTTTCTTCCTAGTCAACAGTTTAACAATCTGGCAGTTCAAGAAGAGTCCCTGTCTCCCATCCCTCTTTCCCTGGACCTCCTATCAGAACCATTTCAGAAAATTTCCCAGCAGAGTTTGGCTTCTTCAGTTATCACATCTAAAATGAAAGTGTGTCTTCTGAGGAGCATGCTTAGGTAGGGGCGTTTGTGTGTGTGTGTGTGTGTGTGTGTGTGTGTGTGTGTGTGTGTGTGTGTGTGTGTGTGTGTGTGTGTGTTTGTTGGGTAGTGGGGATGGAGGCAGACCTTTCTAAAGTGGTGAAAATGCAAACTGAGAAACCCTGAGAGAAAGACATGGCTTCCGGTTTTTGTTGCTAACACAGCCACTAAACACACGTCAAGTTGGACCCAGCCCTTAGGGGAGCTGTGGTCACCTCAAATGTTTTTGTCAGCTGTTTCTCTGAATACAGGCATTCCTTACACTGTCATCTCAAATACAGTCATCATGAGCTGATACAACAGCACAAATCTTACCTAGAATTTGATGGGTAGCACAATCCATGGAGATTTTAATCACTGTCCCTGTACTCCTTAGACATGACTGGTAGTGTCATGTCTTCTGTTTACCCCAACATGGGTAATGGAGGCCCATGTATTAGAGCCATTATCTACTGCTTCCAGGGTGTGCATTAGCAGGAAGATGGATCCCATCCAAGTCCCCCATGTGGGTGATGGAAGCCTATGTATTAGGGCCATCATCTACTGCCTCCCAGAGTATGTGTTAGCGGGACCCAGAGGTGGTACTTGATCCTAGTTCTAATGTGTAATGTGGATGTTCTATGAAGTGGCTTAATTGCTGTGGCATTAAAACTCAAAGGGCAAAGCATGTGTTTGACTTGTTCTACTGTATATTTTCAGTGCTGATCATATTGAGTAGTATACAATAATATTCATAAGATATTTTCTTAGAGAATGAGCAGTGGCATCCTGTAAAAATGATGCACATTTTTAAACCCAGCATGTTTAATTTTTAAATTTATTTGCATTTTATTTGAATGAGAGAGAGGAATAGAGAACTTTCATCTTCTGTTCACTCTCATGTCTGTAAAAGCCAGGGCTTGCCTAGGAGCCTGGGCACTCAGTCTGGTTCTGCCCTCTGGGCCTCAGGGACCCAAATACTTAAGCCATCAGCTGCTGCCTTCCAGGATGTATATTAACGGGAAGCTGTCCTAGAGGCAAAGGGAGCCAGGGGCCAGACTATGTGTTATCACTGCTCAAACACCTGTTTTGTTGTTGTTGTTGTTGTTTTTAATGTGATAATATACAGTAGAGGAAAGGGAAGGAACCAGCCTTAATTTACGACCTTTTACATTGCCATGCAGTTGACATCATTTAAGTGGAAACAATGGATTGTCATGGATATTTCTGCTTTCCTTCATAACTCCCTAAAGGACTTTCTTTTTTTGTGTGTGAACTTGATGCAAATAATGTGGGTGGCAAGATTATTTTCAATGATTTAGTGCTATTTGAAGTATGTCTTTGAAATACTATTCTATTTCTCTATTAACATATTTTAGCAATTTTCAACTTGCATGGCTGGGCATATGATTAACAGAAGGGAAAGAAAAGAATTGGATTAGATGTAATTAACACCTGGAATGCTATTGCCTTATTAATCTCTAATGTAACTTTAAGAGCATTAAATATGCATATATCCCAGACATGGCTGCTTAACTTTTGACTTCTTGTGTGGCACACAGCTCTAAGTCTTAGGCTTAAAAAGCATGGGAAATGCATTTCTTAAATATGGTCATGGTGCCTTCTTATAATTGGGAAACTAACAATGCAATTTTACATGCAGGGGATAAGGCAGATTATAGATTGCAGAGTAGGTAACATTGAGTGCTGCCCTTCTGGTCTCTGAAACAGCCTTCTCCATTTCATGTTCACTGCTATTAAATAGTGACAGATGCCTAAACCAGCTCTTTAGTTGCTCTCTATGACTGTGCTCTAAACCAGTTTCATATTTTAAGACTTACATGTTTACTTACTTGCTTACTTACTGGAAAGGCAAAGTGACAGAGGTGTGGGGGAAGGGAGAGATATCTTTGGTCTACTAGTTCACTCCTCAAATGACTAAGACATCCAGGGACTTCATCCTGGTTTCCTGCCTTGGTAGCAGAGTCCCTAGTAGCTGGGCCATCTTCTCTTGCCTTTCTAGGCACAGGAATTAACAGGAATCTGGATTGGACACAAAGTAGCTTGGACTTGAACTAGCAGTCAGAAGAGGGATGTTGGAATCAGCAGGGTCAGCTTTACCTACAACAGTCTGATTTTAACCATATTGATCTTGAAACTTCTCAGGCATCAGTGGATATACTGGTCGATGTTTCAGAATAACTGTGTGGGGTAATGAAAGGGTCTTTTGTGATGATGTCACCCAGAAGAGAGACTGGCACCCGTGATCAATGAAATGTCCTGTGCTGTGTCCAAAGGAGGCAGCTATCATTATAGCCAGGTTTTTTTTTTTTTTAGCAGTTAGCAACAGAGGTCTGATTCTGTATCAACCAGTGTCAAATGAATAACAAGAAGAAAGCTGAGGTTTCGTTTGAAAGCTTCAGGGTTATAGCTGTTGGCAACTAGTATTTTTGTTTTTGTGCGTCTTTACACAAGATACACAGAACATATCTATGGGCTGAATTTTATCTCTGTTCACCAGTTGTGGCCTCTGGTCAAAGCTCTGCTCCCTGGCTGTGCTGGTCATCAAAGTCTGTTTTCACTTAATCTTACCACAGTTGACACTTGCCACTATTTTACAATCCCGTGTTTTGATGGATTTGGCTTTATCCCAATCACCTGTCCAAGGCATAGCCTCTCCCTGTGATGACCCCACCTGGAACACTTCCTGTCACCCTAGATACCCAGTGAGTCCCAGGTCAGCTTTTTTGTGCAAAAGTCTGTTCTCAGCCCAACCATCCATCTGCCTAGTTGACTTCAGTATCTGTGTTGCCTCCAGTAACACATCTGTTTGCAGACAATGCTGGTCCTGAGCATTGGTCCTGAGGCGTCATAGGCTCTTGGGGGGGAGGTCCCCCGAAGATGGCACGGGCTTCTCTGGAGTGTTGCTTCTCTCACAGGCCTCTAGTGACAAGGAGCTGGCTGACTTCCGCTTCATGCTAGCCGTGTACAGCTCTGATCTTAGGAAGGATTTGTTTGTTTGCTTAACCAGGCTGAAAGCTCCTTTCCTCCTCTCCTCTCCCCAACTTTTAAGACCACTATCATGGGTGCTTACCTTGAAATTCTCTGCTCCTGGTATGGTGAGTTTTTTCCAATAACGAGGGCTATAGTCAAACAGAAAAGAGCCTCTCTCTTGTATGGTCACAACTTCAAAGTTCTTCCCTTGGAAACAGATCATACATGTGTGGTTTCTTTGCTGACATATTTTAAAGTTTTATTTATTTTTATTGCAAAGTCATATATGTGACTCTCTGTGTGTGTATATATATGAGGAGAGACAGAGAGGAAGATCTTCCGTCCCATGATTCACTCCCCAAGTTGCTGCAATGTCCGAAGCTGCGCTGATCTAAAGCCAGGAGCCAGGAGCTTCTTCTGGGCCTAGCACATGGGAGCAGGGTGCCAAGGTCTTGGGCCATTCCTGGTAATTTCCCAGGCCACAATCAGGGAGCTGGATGGGAAATGGGGCTGCTGGTATTAGAACCGGTGCCCATATGGGATCCTGGCATGTTTAAAGCGAGAACTTTAGCTGCTTTAGACCTACTGACATATTTTTTATAGGCTTTTTTTAGTAACAGTTGCCTGTGCTCTGCCATTTTTATCACAATTTGTTCGAAAGCACTTTTCTTTGAGAGTTGTACTGTTATCAGCATTAATAAACATTTCCCAAGTTTGTAACCAGATGCTCTGCTTGATAGTACGTCCTTGGAGAACTTGCTTTACTTTTTTTTCGCCTTCCAAACAATCAAAGGTCTAATTATCCATGTATTAACTTTTAAATCTCATAATGAGTTGTAATGCTTAGACTCATCACTTCTGCCTGGGATATCATGAGTATTGTGATATCAGCTATAAAAATAAAAGTATTTGCAGGTTTGGAATTGGCCTATGTATATAGACTTTTGAGACTAATCTGGAATTATTTTATAATGCATTGGAGTTACTTTTTGACTCTAGAATTGCATGTTATGATGTTGCAGCTTGCCATGAACTCACTGCTGTTCTTGTGTGTTCTCAGGTGCTGTGATACTCTTGGGCAGAACTAATATGTTTCGGTTTAATCATCCAAAGGAAGCTGCCAAACTCAGGGAGAAGAGAAAGGTGAGTGGCATGAGTTCTCCAGGGGCTGGGTGGATAGGTGTAGGATGGTGGGTCCACACTGATTCCAACACTGTGACTTCCAGGAGTACACAGCCACCTGTAAGAAGTGATGCCAGGCAGTTTCCTTCTGGAAATGATTGGCATGTACAGTAGGAGAGCACTCAGTGAAGTCCAGGGCAGGTGAAAATATTCCTTCTGGACCTTTCTAGACGTTTCTCTTTGGCCTCCCACCGCACCGTGCAAAGGGCTGGGATATTATTTTGCATAAGAGTGACCTGCAGTCAATCAGATTTGTTTTAAGAATTTGCCTGAGTTGGAACAACTCTGACCCACAATCAGGCACAGTTGGATGAGATGCAGCACAGGGGTGAGTATAGGCCCCATCTGATTGAGTAGTGTCCATTAGAGAGAGGCCGTGGGAACTCCTCAATGGGGGAGATTGGCAAGGAAGTGCAAATGGAAAGAAGAAATAGCCTAAAAATATCACAGTTGGTCCCTAAACTGATAAGGCCTGTATAGTCAATAGCCACTGTTTCTTTGAGGTAGGACCTGTGCTAAACTTCCACATTAGTTCTGTTACTTTAAATGTGCCGGAGCAGTTATTTACCCTGTGGGATAGACAGATGATCATGAAGAAAGCCAGAGTGAGGCAGACACTCCCTCATTCAATAGCCAACAAGAGCAACTCTGACCTGCAGCCCAGAATATTCTGCCCTTCAGCACTGAGTTCGGCAGCCTTCCATCTCAAGTGCTCTTTTAAGGCCACCAGAAGTTGCCAGCTCAATGAGATGGGAAGTAATGACAACGCTGCACACTGCCTTCTTCAGGACAGCTGCTTGTGGGTCCTAGCCTACGTGTCCAGGACCCCACTGGAGATCGCAGGTTCAAGGGGAGATGGGGAAACACTTGCCCACAGCAGCTTCCCATGAGGCCCAGGGAGCCAAGCTCGCACTCACTCCTGCTCTACACATGCCTCTCCCTCCTTTGACCCAGTCACTCAGTGCACATGAACTACTGTTGTTGATAGCAGGAGACTGCTGCCTGCCAAGGAATGGAGGATGACAATTATGGTGATCCCAGCTGTTCCTGCCTTCAGAAAGCCTGGCAAGGAAGACTATCTGGACTGTAGAATACTGGGTGAATTTCCCCAGTCCTAGAATGCCAGACCATGCTTGGATTTGAGATGTGGCAGAGCCCAACCACCCCCCAGTTTGCTGTTTTTGGAGAGGTGGATTGTTATTGCTGGTGATCATGGTTGCATGCAGCTCATTGTCTCTTGGGTGGAAAGCAATGACCCAGAACACTGGTCGCCTCTTCTCTGCTGTGGTAACCACTCTGCCCTGTGTCTACTCTTAGAGTGGCCTTCTGTCCTCCTTCAGCTTGTCCATGACCGACTTCTCCAAGTCCCGTGAGAACCTGTCCGCCGTTATGTTGTATAATCCCGGGTGAGTGCTTCCTTATGTTTCTCACACTTGTGTCTTGTGCTGATGCCGCTGTAGTCACATGGTCAAAATAAGACTCCCACACCTGTACCTGCCTCACAAACCAACCCTAGCAATTTTCTAACTTTCTTCCCAGTTTTTGCTCTATGTGTATGTCATTTTGTCTAGTTACAGTTAAACCATAAATGAGATTATGTTTTCTTGTTATGGTTGCTTAATGGTATAGTAAGCTTCATTAGGTGTTGTTACAGTCTTCATTATCATTTCCAAAACACTCTGATATTTTAGAGTTGGCATTTCAACAACTCAGCACACAACTCTTTAAATGTTAGGTGACTACTGAGGACATGAATGAGAGCATTTTAAAGAATTTATGTGTTTAAAAAAGTTACAGAGAAAAGAAGGCAGCAAGAGGAAAGTCTTCCAACCTAATGGTTCACTCCCCAAGCAGCTGCAATAGCGAGGGTTCACCCAAGGCTAAAGCCAGGGGCCAAAAGCCTCACCCAGGTCTCCCACACAGATGGCAGGAGCCCGGGCACTTGGACTGTCTTCTGTTGCTTTTCATAGGCCATTAATCTGGAGCTAAACTGGAAGTAGTCCATCGGGGACAAAAACTAGCACAGATAAAGGTTCCTGATATGCCTCCATGCCAACCCCAAATGAGGGAGTTTTAAATGGACCTGTGGCTGGGTCACCTTAGGTGGCCAGCTAAATGACTCTCATCTCTGTGTTTGTTAACAAAATTACGTTTATAATGAAAGTTCCAGAGAACAGGTAGCGGGAAGAAAATACTTGGAGAATCATTCCAGTTTGAGGAGTTTCTTTGATGTGATCATTACTACAGGAGAATTTCATATAAAATAGTGGAAGCAAATCTAACAGCCAAAGAAGTAAGATAAAGCTAACATGAACAACTATCTTCTAAAACTTTCTTCTATTTACTAGTTACTGTATGTTAGGCATGCCTCTGAGTGTCTAGCATACATGATCTTGTAATTCTCACAGCAGCTATTTCCAGTTGGCAGAAATGTGCTTGCCTGCTGAAGCACAGTTAACCCTGCCTGTCCAGGTTCATCTGACTTTAACCATTAATGCTTTGACCACATCACTGCCTGCCTCACTCCAGCTGGGTGCCAGTTTATCTTCGCTCACACTAGGCCATCTGTTCCAAAGTGTTCACCTCTCTAGCTCAAGTGAGCACTCTGATTTATGGAAGGCAGACTCCTACAAGAAATGACTTTGCTGTTGCAGAAGTGACTCATTCTGTAGGCTAGCCAACTGAAACCTAGATCTGCCCCCTTGCTTGAACTAATGAAAAAACCAGTTAATGCCGTACCATTCTGTGGGCTGCTGGACTGCAGGACACTCCTGCATCGCCACCTTCTTCTTCCACGTTGAGCTTTTCCTTTCTGGTCCATGGTTATTAACGAAGGTTGGACTCACTGAATAACTCTGTCTTAACATAAGCCCTGTTGAGAAGACCCCAACTCCTTACATGTGAAAACTGAGCTTTGTGCTTTGGAAGGAACATTATGCTACAGATACTCAATTACTTAATGCCTTTATCCATTTTATGGGATTGAGTCGTTCATACAGTTATTTTAAGTGTAGTTGAACATGCAGGTCCTCAGGAGTGGTTCAGTTTAATATCCCATCCATCCACCATGGTTTGATTCACCTCTCCTCTCATGCAGAATGCTTGCTTCGATTGGTCCTCTTGGCCCAGGACTCCATTTCAGTGGCAGAATCCAGTATCATGTACATGATCCTTGGTGGTGATTTTTTATTTGTTTGGGAATTAAATGTGTCTATTTGGAAACCAGAAGGTGGCCTACACTCAGGCTTCCTTCTAAGATATAGAGCACTGACAATTGGGTGGGAATTCAGGCTGTGGGTGTTTGTCTTTCCTGTTTAATTGGAAGTGAGTAGAAGTCAGGAGCTTTACTCATTTCTTTATTTTTGAAGGGTCATCCTCCTAACATCCTACTAATATCCTGGTAAAAATTCAGCAAACAGAATGAGAATGAAATTTTATTCAAGGATTCTTTTGGGGAAGAGTTTTCATGAATTCCTCAGAGACAGATGTTCTAAATATTGAACTAAGAGTTTAGGAAGAGGAGCGCATTTATGTGGCACCCATCGAGTCCCAGATGACATGTGATAACGAAGTAAGCTCAAAGTCATAGCCAGGCTTCCCCAGCACCAAAAGGGGAAGAGAGTCTCCTGGTGAAACAGTAAATCAGGCCAAGGCAGGGAAACTGTCTCTTTCAGACACCATTGCGGTTAGCGAGGATCCTATTCTGAATGCATCTGATGCTAGCCTGGTGCAGCCCGTTCACCTGGCTCCGCTTAACAGACACATTCTTTTTCTCTGCCATTCCTGCAGCACTCATTGGTACAAAGTGAAATAAAAATTATTTAATACTTCATCATACCTTCTTTCTCCCTGGTTTCCAGACCCCCTTAGCTTGCCACCTGCTCTAGAGAATGATTGCCCATGAATTAAAATATAATTGGAGAAAAATTGCCTACTTTGATTTATGGGAAATAGCTCATTGTGAAGTTGTCTGCTCCAGCAGCTAGGCAAAATGAAGCAGAAGTAAAGCTATCGTCGTGCTGCTTAGACCTTTATTTTGATGTTGTGGGTATATCTTCTGCCTAAATAAGCACCGGGCAACAAACTGGAACAGCATTGAATATGATTTGTTCAATTCTTGGGCCTTTACTAAATAACTGTTTAAATCCAGATAATAAACTGCTTGGGCAAACACATGTGCTGGTTTCTTGAGGTAGAAATGCAGGTTTCAACAGTTCAGCAGGTCTGTCAGCACTCATGAAGGGTCTGTTTTGTGTAGAGATTCTGCCAAATGTGACATGCAGTGTTCCCTGTGCCTGGGCCTAACTGATACATGCGTGTGAACACTTGGAGAAGAAAGGGAATGCAGTGAGAGGGCTCACAGTGAAGAGCTGTGGTTTCTGTAACCTCTCCTCTGGGAGGTCAGCCCAGAAGGGCAGTGGTCCAGGCGACAGTACCTAGAAGGGGATGCCGTTTCTGCTGCTGGGACCCTTTGTCCATACCCTTCTGGGGGATATGGAGAATTAAAGGCCACCTCATTATTGGTGGATACTTCTACTCATGTTAAGATAAGTTCAACCAGCATCTTGAAACCAATGTGATAGGCCTCAAAGCTTATGCGGGCTAGTTATCTTGCCAAGCTTCCCCTCAGTTCAGCTCACTGTAAGTACCATAGTAATGTATGACCTGTGATAAGGGAGGCAGCTGGGGAAGGATAGCAGGGGATGCTCGAACATTAAGAAGATGCAAAGCCTGTGGCTGGTGCCTTTTCCGTGGTTGAAGACATGATGGTGTTAGTCTGTAGAAAGGCTGGATTCAGAGAATAGAGGGAAAAAAACACAAGTCCAAGACTTGTTTCTTGACAGCCATTCCTCACCAACCCCAAACCAGTTCCTTTCAAGTCTCCTAGAAGACTCTGCAGGATCAAAATGAAGTGGGTACATGTTGGCCCTGATGTGTATGTGGTAGGAAAGGAGAGAGAGAGATATTCTGAGTGGAAAAAATGCCTGGGCAAACCCCATGGGTGTGGGAGGAAGAGTCACCAGGTGTGGCCTCACCTGTGAGCTCTCCAAAGGCCATGTTTGGTCAAATTGGAGTAGAAGAAGGAGGGACAGTGCAACTCAGGTATCTGAGGCATGCATGTCACACATGCAGCATTTTTGTATTTTCTGATTTGCCTGTTTTCAGAGCATTCCCAGAATGTATGAGCAAAATGTTTAGCCCAAAACACAGCAGATAATTGTTTTCTATATACCCAGAAACATAGTAATTTATTCTCTCTTTGTGTGTGTTTGTGATAAAAGCCACTTAAAATTGATCATTTTAACTATTTCTAAATGTGCTATGTGGTAGTAGTGAATGCATTAATATCACTGTGCAACCAGTCTCTAGAATGCTCCTCAACTGGGAAAACTGAAGGTCTATATCCATTAAATAGTAACTTGTTCTCTTAGCCCTTCAGCTCCTGGCAGCCACTATCTTACTTTGGACTTCCATAAATTTGACTGTTAGGTGTAAGTGCAACCATTACAGTGCTTTTCCTTTCAAGGTCAGCTTATTTCAGTTTGCGTATCTTTAAGGGTCATCTATATTGTTGCATATGGCAGCATGTCTGTCCTTTTTGTGATCAAGTAACATTCCATTGCATGCATTTGTCTCATTTGGTGTTTCATCCTTGCACGGGGGCCATGCTAATCTTCTCTGTATTGTTCAGTTTTAGTATATGTCCTGCTGAAGCAAGCACCAGATTTGATGTTTCCATCCATCTACTGATGGACACTTGATTGCTTCTGCTTTTTGGTTATTACAAATAATATTGCTAGGAACATGGGTGTGCAAATAAGTTTGAACTTGTCATTTCAAATCTTTTTACTATATACTAAGAAGTTGAATGAATAGATAACGTGGTATTTCTGTTTTCAATTTTTCAAGGAACTAACATACTATTTTACTTACCAGCTTCCCCCTTTTACATTCTATTTGATAGTGCATAAGGGTTTCCAGTTTCTCCACATTCTTAGCAATTTGTGATTTTTTCTTTTTAATATAGCTACCCTGGTAGCTATGAGGTGGTATGTTATTGCTGTTTCTCTGCACTGTTTTTTCTTTCTTTTTTTCCAAGAATGTCTAATTTTTTTTAAAAAAAAAGTGTTTATAAATATTGAAAGAATCATCTCAAAGTGCAGCCCCCACGTATGATGAAGTATGAATCTAGCTTGGATGGAGGTCCTGGTGATTATGTCACCTCTTCCACATTCTGCCAACTTCACTTCAACCGGCTCTGCCCAACCAAGAGTAGGATGCAGGAAGTGTCTGTAGTTGAGGATCAGCATAATTAGCTTTACATGGAGAGGGATCACGCTGGTGAATGAATAATAAGAGCCCTGATAAAGCTCCAGGAGGTGGACTGGAGGTGCAGGCTTGAACC